GCTCATCCCATGGAAGCCTGCCTCCGAGTGCCTCGCCCTCGGCGGAGCCTCGCTACGGGGAGGTGCACGTCCTTCGCAAGGGAACTACCGAGACACAAGATGGCGATCTCCACTGAAGAGGCAACTGCCCCTTTGTCTTCTCCCTGTTCTTCGACCCACTCATCTATCCCCGACTACTCTTCATGTCCGTCTATGAACAACTGCTTCTTTTGCACATTGCCTATGATACCGGATCGGGGGGACTCCCACCCGGGAGGACCTAGCTTTGTCTCATGGGTACAGTGTAGCCAATCCTGCGTGATCCGGTCCCACGGGTGCTGCATTAGGTACTGCCATACTGAAGCAAGAAAAGGTGGGTCTGTTCCGACAGCCGAACGAACCAAGTACCCACGGGCCGCAGAGAAACGGTACTTAGAGGCTAGGACAGAGGACGACTTTTCACGAAGTGTCCGTAGAGCAAAAGTCTGGACAGATCTCTTTTTGTTAAGGAGACTAAAAGGGGAACCACTGGCGGAGCTTACCAAGTCAGAATGTCTGCGAGTCACGGAACACGCTCATGATTATCGCTGGCAGGAATCTGCCCTACAAAAACGAAAAGACAATGATGATAGCGGGTCTAGCTAGCTGACGGTTCCACACCCTCTCGCTAGGTTCGATTGGACACGAGTTGCACACGAAGAGGATGCGGTCCACTTCACGGTTAAGATACACGGGAAAAGCCATTGAGAAAAATGGGTGGTATTGGTTGGGAATCCGAGAAGATGTCAAATACATCGTCCAGAATTGCCCGGCTTGCGTGGCCGATAAGGCGCCAATACAGATGCCCCGAACAATGGTGCCGACTAGGGTAGAACGCCCCTTTCAACGAGTTAGCATCGATACGACGGATATCAATGTACCGAGAGGTCCTGTCGATCAGGGTGAGCTGAATGTCCTTCTAGTGGCCGTCAATCATTTTTCCAAGTGGATCGAGGCCTACCCTATGACTAGTCGAAATACTCGAAACTCGTTAGAAGTAACCTGGTATATTAATCGCTTTCTATGCATGCACTTGGACGTAGAAGAGGTACACATGGATAACGGGATGGAATTCCAAAGGAAGTGGAGCGGCATCTTATAAGGGCCAACGTTAGGATTTCATACTCGTCAGGGCACTGGCCACAGGCTAATGGGCTGGTAGAGAACGCCAACCGAATGATTAAGACAACCCTTAGACGGACTATCATTGCAGGGGATACCAGACCCTGGGCCGTCATAGTCAATCACATCTTGGTCGCCTATCGGGCTACCCCCCACGGTAGTACAGGGGTGTTCCCATTTGAACTAAGGACCAATGGTGTCCCCTGCGTGCAACTGTCACCTCTAGTGGGTACGGAAGTTAGAGCGACTCGGGCTCAACACCGAGATAAGGCCCAACACTACATGGATTTGATGGCTAGGACCTACCCAATGTTAGCCCGAAGGTGACAGAAGGTCGTGGATTTGACGCATCAACGACAGACCCGAGATTATGAGAACCGCCATGCATCCGCAGACCCACTGCCCCGCTATAAAATCGGGGATCTGGTGCAGATACGGAAATCTGTGTGCTCCTCCAAGATCCATCCTCGTTACATTGGCATTTACGAGGTGACGGAAGTTGGCGCACAAGGCCAACACTCTGTGAAACTGGTCCCCGGACACAACATGCAAGCCAGGCCGCTGACTCACCATGCTGCTGCGCACCGCGGTAGCTCAGTTCGGGTTCGGAACCGACACCGTTACAGCAATTGTTCCAGGCTCGGTGTGGGTTCGGCATCAGCTTATTTCAGGTTTTGCGCTGGTTAAGGCTCCCGCGGAGATTAACTCTCAGGTCCGGAACTGCTACACCATTTTACGACAGGCCCGGAACTACAGCAGCGGGTCGACTCGGGTTCGGATCTGGGACGACACTAGCACGGTGCGGATTGTTGCAATTCTGAACTTCATAATTAGCGTCGGCGCGGCGGCCCAAGACTGGTACGACTGCAGATTCGTCAGTCCTGGCGCTGGTGTGGTATAACCTCATGGCTGATGCTGATACGATGCTCCTATGGCAAGTCTTGGTGTGTAACACTAATCTGGTCCAAATCGGCTACGTCGCGGTAATAGGCCTGGTTCATGATCACTCCAGTCCTATATTCTTACATCGGCATAAACCTGCCGCAGCGGCTCTCTGTCGACAGTGGGGACTCACAGCGAACGCAACATGCTATTCTGATACCGAAACAGAGTGGTAAGGGTGGACCAGTTGGGACTGTTGGGGCATACTAAGTTATTACCTCTAGTTTGCCAAGGCCTACGGGCTGGGACTGGGCCGAGGTCCACGCTCGGGTGAACTGGGGAACCATATAGGGAAGACGGTCGGAAGAGAAAGGCCAGGTGAGCAAGGTGTACCCGCGACACGAAGCTCGGAGTGGGGGCATTGGCGCTCAGGCGGTTGCACCGCGAGCGAGGAGAAAGCACGGGGCAGAACCCACAGCGYGCAAGCAGTTACTCCTCGTGTGGGAGGAGAAAGGCAAAGAGACTGGGYGAGAAGGTGGGGAGTGCYTGGCGTAGGGGGCACTCARCATAGCGCGTTTCAACCGSGGGGRAAACAGCGAGCCAGGTGTGCCTCGCATAAGCGCGATTGACTTCGGAGTCTTATCACAGAGCTATGGAGTRAAGACGAAGATGAGTATGCCCCTCCCGAGTCACAATACAGAACCAAAGCTGTTCCGAGTCACAAGACAGAACCAACAGCCATGGAAGACTCCCATGTGAGAGACAAAGGAGAGAGAATAAGAGTGCCAGGAGTACAGTGCGAGCAGGCGGGAAAGRCGTTATCTAGGYAGCCATGACYGGGGTGTGGAAAGGGGCACCGRCATACCAGGCGCATCTGTGACTTGAAGAGGGAYATACTGCAGGTGTGATCGGCACCCGCTGTTGAATTGATCAGCGCTCACGCTGAAGAGAGAAACAGATGCACCCACTGTTGGTGTGACCAGTCACTTTCCCCCGCTGCATAATCTCTGCGACACATGCGATCCTTACGACCAACATTTTGTCATGTGAACGTCACAGGTAATCATTTATGCCATTTGTTATTTTATACTGATGAGACAATCAATAACCCCCAGGGTGGGTGTGATCCAGCCACTCGCGCAGAAGGGAGAACCAGAAATACCCGCTATTCGTGGGAACAACCGCTCCCGCTGATAATGCAATCAGCCATACTTACTGTTCGTGGGAACGGACACTCTCAGACGACATGAGAATGAATTCTAGGCTGGCATCCTCCACTGTCGGTGCCAATAGCAGATCAGACCACATATTCACAAGGGGGATTTGAAAACGCGAATTTTGACCGTACGGATCTTATTTTTGTGACCAAATGAACATAACGTCAGGGGACAGCGCGGTTGTAACTCCCCTGAGTGTGCCGTAGCACT